GCATACCACCCGGCCCCGAAGGACATCTGGGAGGAATGGTGGCGGTGCTGCAGCGCAGAGCGGGGATTTGTGAAGTGCTGACACCTTGCCCAGCACCCTAAAACACAAACAGTGCAAGTGGTAAGAACCCAGCTCAGGTATTTCAGCCATAGGGGCTGTGCATATAATACAGGTGCTGCAGCAGGGACAGTTCAAGCCTGAGTTCAGGAGATGGAGCTCCTGGGTCAGCCCAGGATTCCCAGTCTATTTCCAGTCCTCTTGCTCCACTCATCATAACCCCAACACCATTTTCATCCTGTGATGGTTAAATCCTCCAGGTTTAATCCTTCTCCACCCCATTCAATTTCTCCCTTTTGTCCATGGGCCGTTTCCAGCTGCTCAGTGCCTCTTTTCTACTTCTAGCTACAGATCCTGGCTGGTGGCTTCAACCAAAGCACTGCTGGTGTCACAAAGCTGCTCATCATGCAGGACTGGGTGCTTGATATCCCTGCTCTGCCAAATGGGATCATTGTGGTGTCTGTGACAGAGCACATCCAGCCCTAATTCAGGCAATCTTTTCTAATAGGATTCTTCACCTATTGCACCGGGCTGCTGAGATTGCACCGGGCACCACATCAGCACAAAACTATGTAGGGGATCCCCTCACCCAGCTCCTATGACATTTCTTATCTGTCAATGCTCAGCATCAGTGACAAAAGCCCTGAAATCGCTCAGCATGAAAACTATTGTCTTTGCGGAGGTACTTCCTCTTCTTAGTGCTCCAATAAAGTGTCACTCAAAGAGGAAGGCTCCAGCTACAAACAGAGCAGCAAGAATACCTGGTGGCAAAGTCTGGGAGACAGTACTTCTTAGTGAAGTGAACGCTGTTCTTTCCACATGCAAGTATGGTTGTCACTGCACACCCCGCCTGAACATCATCTCAGATCTTTTCCAATCTTTAATGGAAAAAGTTACCCAAATTCTACCCGAATCAGGCTTAGAATATCATTCTTATTAGGTAGCATGCAGATAAGTACAATTATTTAATAAGAAGAAAATTACATTTCATTTTTTAATGAGGATGCGAATCTCCTCTGATGCATTTTTGAGGCTGAACACAGTCCAGGTCTACAACCAGGTAATTTCTAGCGGACTTCTCTAGATAGAATCTCCCTTCTACTTTTAGAAACCAGAGTGCTTTGCTTTTAAATCCCAGCTGATGTTAAAGCAACATCTTGCTCGATATAATTAGATAGATGTGAATGGGACTTACCAGCTGTCCAGGAGGAAGTCGAGAGAAATGGCCAGAGGAGCTCTGAATCCTTTGAGTTTTATATTCCTTCTTCAACTTCCAGGAAGATGAGACATGTGCATGAAGTCTTAATTACTTTCCAAACAATTTTTCCCGCATGTGTAACACTTATAATTACTATAATTATTTTAACATTGTTTACCAACATTATTCAATTCTCAGCAGTACATACTGTTACATGCTTCAGGGTTCCCCTGTGTATCGTTATGGTCTGAATTTGTTGCTGATGTGATTCTCCCACTTCCGCCTGTCTTAGTGTGGGAATGCACTGAGCTCCAGTTTGTCTGGATTTGGCTTCAGTGCTGACTGTGCAAGCAGTGGTTTGCAGATAACAAACAAAGCATTGCAGATGTGCAATGTGATATGCATCAAGCTATGGGATCTTTAATTCAGGCCCCTTATATCCACCATAGCGCTTACATGGGGGTACTGTGGTGTTCATCCCTGTAAGCACTGCAGAGGAGGGGAGAGCAAAGATTTGCTGACTTCACATCCCCAGTTTTGGTTATTCGGTTCCTGTTCCTTGTTTCCCAGACTATTGTCACGACTTTATAGATGGAAGCTGACATTCTGCTTGGGTATCCCCACTCATGCTCCAGGTATCAACCAGCTGGTGAGCATCTGGCACCAGTCACTGAGATCAGAAACTTAAGAAACATAATCCTGAATGATGATCAATTGTAGAACAGAAGACTGGGGGAGAGGGGAGGGAGAGGGAGATAAGGCAAGAATGTCTGCAGATTAGAGGTAGATACAAAAATGGAAGCATTCAGTTGCAGTTTATACTTGTTGAAGACAAGAGAAGCAGTCGTGGGCCAAAAGTCCATCGTGGAGAATTAAGCAGGGAGGAATTTTTTATTCACGTGATTACTGACATGCAGGAGTTGCTGAGAGATATCACGGAGTTTCCATCCATTCATGGATGCTCTGAGCAGTGGATCTGATAAGCAGTCAGGAGGGGTTCATCTGAACGGCCTGGACAGTGGGGACATGCAACTGTTGGTGTGTGGGGATATGAGCAGAAGCCCTTCTAACCCATCTGATATGATTGCTTTTGATTTCAAACAGAAATGCAGCACTTAATGAAAATGCAAAATGCTGCGAGTTATCAGGGCTCAGAACAACATCCTGTTTGTGGGAACAGCGTAGGCACTTCAATAAAAAAAAAAATGCATATTCTTAAGGTGCTATTACTCAGCCCTGAGGTGTTTATCTCAGCTGTCGTGCTATTAATAGTATAATGATAAAACTCTTTGCATGCATAAAGCGATAATGAATATTTTGGAAATGCTTTGACATTCCTTTCTGTGTGGCAACCTCACCTTACCGGTCTCAGTTGTTGGAGTTATTTCCCCCATTCTTTCACAAACAACAGTGAAAAGTTCACATAAACTTATCTGAAAAACCAGAGCCAGGATTCCAGGCTCCCCATAGAGCCCTGTTGAGCTCTGTTAATAGGGCTGGCAGACAGTTTGCATGTAATTGTGCTCAGAAAATAGGAAATTCCTGTTTCTGTGCTGCTTTACCTGCAGAGTACCCAAATACTCAAACTGGAAACTCATTGACACCTCCTCATCTGTTCAATTTTCAGATGTTATCTGCACAAAACCAACCTGGGATTGGGCTTAGCAACCCAATCCTGGACATCCTGCACCAATTAATAACAGTGCTCACTATGGAGCTTGTCTGGACAGGACATCCAGTGCTAGGATTTGAAAGGCTGTGCCAAGTGAAATTAAACACAGAGAAAGCTGCTTATTAGCTGACCCTATCACTGTGTGCATCAGAGAAGAGCTCATCCTCTCTCAACCCTTATGTGGTGAGTGAAGGCAGAAATAAGATGAACCCAGCAAGCTCTCCTCTCACTCCCACCACCCTGGCTTGTTGCCACTGCCCATCTGAACACTCAGAGACAGATGCTGAGGTCTGGATGTGGCTTTCTGAATGCCAGAGGAAGGCAAATCATCACTTTCTTCCTGCCCACATCGTGGCACAGGCAGCCTGTGGTTGGCTTTCACTGCCACAAGGATGCAGCACTGCCTCATGTCACCTCCAGAGCCATCAGAGCTACCTCACCTTCAGGGCCACCAGCTCTTTGCAGGGCTCCTGAGCTCTCTGTGAGCAGATCCAACACAATGACAGTGATGGAACATGGATCTGCTGCCAGAGCAGCTTAGGGAAGAGGGGAAATGATGTTCTCTCACTTGGGATACTGCAGGGGCCATGTAAGCACGAGCAAAGTGGTCAAAGGCACCTGGGGCTCTTCAGCCTTTCTCCAGCTGCTATCTATAAAACAGTTATATTGCTGACTCTCACCAATAAAACAATATAAAAAGTCCAGGCACCATTTAATGGAGAGGCCAGCTTTTTTATTTATCAAAGCCCAAACACCTTTGTCAAAAGCAAAAAGCATAGAAACAACTTCTGATTTTTAAAAGGAAACTTTCTTCTGCTGGTCTTTCTCATGGAAACCAAAGGGAAAAATGGGCCCTTTGGTGCTTAGAGCAGCAGAGAGTAGTGAAGTGCTCTGAGCTGTGCAAGTAGCATAAATGCTGGTGGTAGAGCTTCCCCTTGTCAGCTGTGGAACTCCATCTCCCTGTGGGGCTGCATCCTCATGCCTCTGTGATGTGTGCTACATGAAGGAGGAGCCAGGTTTGCATGGAGATGGGACAGGAAAGGGGCTGAGCCAGAGGAGGCCGCCAGGACCTCGCTCAGCTTCTTCTCTTTGCATATAACTCCCCAGGGTTGAAGTTAATATCATAAAATTGCTCAGGTTGGAAAAGACCTTCAAGATCATCAAGTCCAACCACAACCTAACCATACTACCCTAATTCTAACAACCCACTGCTAAATCACGTCCCTAAATGAATGCTCTCTCCCTACAGGGAGTAACAATTCCGGTGTGGCAGGATTGCAAGCAGCATTGGTCTCTTTGTATGAGTAAATCTGTCACTTTATTAGAAAAAGGAGGCTATGGAAATCCTGCTCGGAGGGCTGCAGAAGAAGCAGAGGGGCCAGGAGGAGTTTAGCAGCCAGGACACTGCTCAGCAATGAAGGCAGCACTGGAAGGACCTACCAGGTTCTGCAATGCACCTTTAGGTGGTGGCAGAGGGCCACTGTTCCACTGAGTGAACAAACAGGGCGGTGTGCTTTGGGACCTTATGTGTATACACCAGCTAGGCAAAATACTGATCAAGCAAGGTCACTAATTCCTGCTCTCTAGGAAGGTGTCCCCGTGTGGTAACAGCTGGAGCTGCAAGTTGTTTGTCCAACTGACTGCAGATTCATCACCGCACACAGTTGATGCTGATCATTTTGAAAGCAGGCAGAGCCAGCCTGGAGTCACAGCATCACAGGGACCTTCGGCATCACCCTCCCACCTCTGCTATCCCAGGGGCTGTGCCACAGAACCAAATTCATAATTTGCTCAGCACTGATGAAATTACAGCAGACAGCTGCTAATGAGTCTCATTGCACTAATGAAGTTTTCCTCTGTCTCACAGCCTGCGCTGCTGCTTTTGCTGTGTCTCTGCCCAACCTGTCTAGTCCTAACAGCGTGACTGCTGTCTTTATTTTACAAAGAGGGAAAAGCACAACAACAGGGAGCAGTTTTGTCAGGTGGTGTTGAAAAGAGTGGGGAAAAAAAAGACAGAAACACAAGGAAAATGACTGAGACGGCAGACAGCAGGGATCTGGCTGCAACCTGAAATTTAATACAGTGGGCACAACCAGTTAAAATCACTGATGAAGTAACAGTAACAACCTCTTGGAGTGCAAATGCTACAGCAGAGTTGTATCAGCTTAAAGCTCAAATCTGAGCACCTGCTCAGAGCTACTTAGTGTCTCATTAACATAAATTCTGTTGCAGGAATAACTACAGAGGAACCACAGGAGGAAGGCAAGGTACCATACAAGGTTAGCATTGATTACAATAAGGGGAAGACTGGGCAAAGCGCTTTCAGGGGTTAGGAACAGGGGAAAACACAACCTCAGGCTCAGCTACGTGGTTTGCTGTTGTCACAGCAGCTTCAGCCCCTTCACCAGAGACATTTGGAAGCACAGCGGCTCTTCTTGGAGTGGCTCGAACGCTTCACATCCCCCGCATGGTGCCGTGGTGAGCGCTGGATGGCACATGGGTGGAGGCACTTGGACTTGCTGATGTGCTGAGTGGATGAGCTCTTATGCTTGGCTCCCTCCTGCAGCGGCGAGCACTTGGCCAAGCGCTGCTGGGATGAGCTCACCTTCGCCCCGCTCCCGGGGGGGCACTTGGGCACTTGCTGTGGGGTGCAGGTGGTGATGCACTCCTGCGTTGGGTACCCCTTGGAGCACTTCTGGTGGGGGAAGGGGCTGATGTACTCCTCCAGGAAGCACTGTGTCACGCACTGCTGCGGGGGGCACTCGGTGACCCCCCGAAGTGGCAGGGAATAGCCGCTGGTCATCCCCTGCAAGCAACGGTTCTCCGCACCATACCGCTGTGACTGGCACCTGGAGACCTTCCTTGACCTGCACTCATCCTTGCAGGAGGATGAATACCTGATCCCACACGGTGGGAACTTGAGTTTGCCTGGCTCTGGGCACCGTGGAGCACAGGGTGGGAGGCTCTTGGCCACGTGTTTCTTCTCCAAGCGGCCGTTCTCACAGGACTGCAGAACTCGAGCAGGGCTGAGGCGCACGCTGGGCTTCCTGCAGGGCAGCAGACGTGTGGTCTCACAGGGCTCCGGACACAGCATGACACACTGCTGCACACAGGGCTGGCAGGGCAGCAGCGTGCTGTGGGTCACGCTGGGCTGTGAGCACACGTAGGTGAAAGGCTGCACGTAGCTCTGCCATCTGGGCATCGGGCTCTTGATGATGCTCAGCGGGTGGCATGTGGTGCTGCATGCATCAGGTTGGGATGTGCAATGCTGGTGGCTTTCGGTGACGTAGCTGGAGCCCGGCAGGTACAGTTGTTTGTACCTCTCCCCATAATAGTGCATGGTCCTGGGAGGTTGTTAAGCCTGGAAGAAGCAGGAAGAAGAAGGACAGTTCACACTCACATTGGCTGTTTCCTGGTGATGCCTGCACCCAGTCCTGCTGGAGGTCACTGGCTGGTGATTCAGAACCCACCTGGGATTACCCAGGGGAGCTGCTCTCAGCTCCCTCCCCTATATCCTGATGAGCTCCAAAACAACCAGAGCCAGGAAAACAAAGCAGCTGCTTTCTGCCCTTCAAAAATGAGCTAAATATTAAACCTCCCCCATCGCCACTGGGACATACTTTCAAGTTCCTATCCTGCACCTCCCAAGCACTGAGGATGAAAGACAAGCCAGAATTAAAGGTGTGCCCACGCTGCAATCCTCAGGCGTGGCTGCAGCTCAGCAGCACAAAGACAAACCGTGGTTAAAAGGGCTGAGGGTGAGCACAGGTTTGTGGAGCACATCTGAGCTGAGCTGCAATCGGTGCCTGGTCCCTTATACCATAGCAGCACCTCTGCAGTCCCTGCTTTGTGCTGTCGTGTGGGCAAGCATCAAGAAAAGTAAGAAGAAAAGAGCAGCAGAAGTGTTCTGTTTGGTCAAACCAAGGAAGGAAAGGAAGCATCAAGGAAGAATCTCTGGCAGATTTCACCCCAGTCCTGCCCAGGTATTGGAAGCAATGGCATATGAAAAGTGCTCAGAAAATGTTCAGGTTTTTATTTTTCTTTGTTTGTTTTCATCTTGAAGTTATTTAGGAATTAAAGTCTGTAATTAAGTGATCATAAAAAAAGTGCATCTTCTGAGCACCCCTCTTTCTATCTATAATTACAGCCCAAAAGCCTGTTGCTGGGTGACTGTTAATAATAACATCACTGCGTGTTGCTATCATTATCACTATGATTACAATAATCATTGACTAATATAAACAGCCATCGAAAAACAAGAATCACAATGCTACTACTGCACATAAAATACCAAAGCATCTGGTGATGTTCAGCAAGATAAAAAAACTTCTAGAACAGGGGGATTATTCACATCCAGGGAGATGTTTGCATCCCTGGCTGTTAGCCTATGGAGAAACGTAAACACGTTCAGGTTTGTCTGGAGAATCTCTGCTGATTTCATGCTGATCCTGAAGTTGATAGGCTTCTTGCTGTCCTCTGAAAAGCTGCTTTGTTCAAATTCCATGGAATGGCAGAAAAATTCCACCAGATCCTTTAGATCAGCCGCCTTTCCACGTGTGGGCTCAATGCCTGACTCCCAGCAGCACCAAGCCCCTCACGCAGACCATAGCTTCCTTTGGACCAGACCTAGCAGCAAGCGTAGAGAAGCCCACAAATCCTGTTCCCAATTCCTCAGTCCTTCAGGAGGTGCTTGCCCAACATCCTTCCCTTCAGCACAGAGCTGTTCCTGATGTCAGAGCCTCACACATCCCTATAGGATGTGCCTCCACGAGCACAGGACCGCCGCCTGCTGCAGCCACCCAGGGGAACAAAGCAACATTTCTGCAGCTCTGTGAGAAGCCAGACTTACCCACTTCATCAGTGAGAACAACCGGAGAGAAGTGCCTAGGAGAGCCCCGTGATGGCTGAGCTTTTATATAGTGAATAAGTGCCCTGGAGGGTGAGGTGGTTTGGCCCGCGATGCTCTAATTGCTGCCAGTACCAGCCAGGCCACGTGCAGCTTCATGCTGGAGGGAATGGCCGTGCTGTTGTCACCAGGGACCATGGGGACATTGCTGAGTTGGAAGACCCTGTGAGAACATCCTGCTTCTCCCCATGCTAAGTAGAGCACCTGGGTGGCCAAGGGCAACCCCTGCATGTGCTGTTAGTGGCTCTGATGCTGTGAGTCCCCGTGCGCTGTGCAACAACAACTCCTCTGCTTCACTGTGGCAAATCCAGGGCAGTAAAATGGTGCTTTTCTACAGAGAAAAAGATACTGGCTGAGATAAACAGAGGAAAGGGTCTGGGCTGCCCAAGGAACTGTTCATTTCCATGGGAGCTGCATGCATAAGGCCCTTTGGTGCCTTTGAAAACACCATCCAGGAAGGACTCTCGGCAACTTCTTGCAGCCCGTAATTACTGTGGCATGCAGACTTCCTCCACCTGCACAGGAGCTGAGGGTGACTGGGGCTAAGAGGCCTTGGGTGAAGGGCATGGCCACTGCTGGAATGACCCACACTAAACAAAAGGCTGTGCTGAGAGAGGATGCCATCCCAGCACAACAAAGGGCAGAAAAAAGGGGCAGCATTGGGGCATCTTGGGAAGGATAGCTGAATCCCTGCAGTCCTAAACACACACATCCCCTTTCCTGCTCTTTGTTCCCTGTTTATACTAGTTTTAAACCCAAGAGGAAATTAACAGCAGCATCCAGTGCTGGCAGGGAATGAGTTTTAACACAACCATGTCTACATAAGCAAAGGCCCTGGCTTATGCCGATTAGACGCCTATCAACTGTGCTCCAGCATGCTGGGAATCTGAGAAAGGCCTTCCCTGCTGGAGCACAGAGAGTTGAAATGTGTCCCCTTGGTGGAGGAGGTGGAAAATTTCTCACCCATAACAAGGAGAAAATCTCCAGCTGCTGAATCATAGAGTGCCAGGAAAGCTCCAAGAGCAACATTAACCAAAGGGACACGTGCACTCTCCAGGCTTACCTTGTTTTCCACAGCTGAAGACAAAAGCACTCATTCCTACCCGTGCTTCCATTAGCTGTGCTTCATCCTGAATTACAACACCCTTCTTACAATTAAATGATCTTCCTTACCATGAAATGTCCCTTCCTAATATTAAATGATCTGACCCAAGGTTTTAGGAACCAAGAGCAGGAATGAAAGAGCAGCTAAGCAGATTAAGAACATTTTTATAAGCTCCATAAATCCAGTTCATACTGTAGAACTAGGTCTGGTAGCCTTCAAGTAATCCTAATATATATTTTAGTGTTTCCAGTAAGGTAACAAAATACTAACCCGATGATAGCATCGTGCTCTGTCATCCAAACGTTCTTAATTAGCATCTGGGAAGTCCTCTAAAATCCTTTCATCTCGGGGAGACGCACAATGTAGCGCAGGGCAGAGTTGTGGGGGCTGTTATTATTCCCAATTAAGCACAGGGGAAATCGAGGCACACCGCTCTGCAGTCACCCAATGAGTCAGGGCCAGCGCCAGGCTTCAATCTGAGCTCTGTGCTCTCATGGCTACTCCACCCCATGGGATGAGCTCTGCAACTTGGCTGATTTTTGTGGTCATTCCAATTCCTACAGGGAAGTCACAGTGGTGTGAAGTCTCCCCAAAGCCTGCAGTGATGGTCTTCCCATAAAGGAATGCAAAGCACTGGGTTGCAAGATCATCCTTAGCTCCACACAGGAGAGAAGAGCCGTGGTCAGTGCCACTCGTGCTCCATCCCCAGTTATCTTCCTTGTGCCCTCTGAGGAGGTGGGATCTCAGCTCCCATCACACCCTGCACCCCACAGGACACAGCTGCTCCACTCCGACCACAGCCAACCCTCATCCCCCAGCACAGCCCACGATGGCACCCCAAGGTCACCAAGTGGGTCAGAACCAGGCAGGATTCAAGGCAGCGTCCCAGCCTGGGTCACACCCAGCTCCTCTTGCATCACTTGTTTTGGCTCTCCCAAAAGGCATCAGCTGCTTGGCGTGAACAGCCTCCGATTCATTCTCTTAATGATAGGGCATGCCATAGGATTTTTGTATTTTGCACAGACAATGTTTGTAATAAAGAAGAACCACCAAAGGGCAAAAAGACAAAATGTTTACTCTGAGGTCAGAGAACTATATTTATTTAGGTATATATATATGTATATCATAAGTATACATATATATAGTTTGTTTTCAATACAATGCAGAGTACACATCTTCAGGCAGCATAAAGAACATAGTTTATCACTTCGGTATCTCAAACATTTATAAAGGAGTAGTGCTACAGCTTTCAGTCTGATTTCCAAGACTTTCTTTTGTTTCAGGCTTTGTTTTCCACAATAACCAAAGCAACCAAGTGAATATAAAAAAAAATTTTCACGTACAAAGTTTCAGCAGAACCAACTTCTCTGACCAGAGATCCTGCCTCGCTCGGGGACTCCGCTGAAGTCAGTGCGGAGTCAGCAGGGATTGCTGGCCACCTCCTGTAATGAAGGCTGTTGGAACGAGACTCAGATACATTTTGCTTAGCAAATTTACATTTGGCTTCCAAATCTGTGAGCAAAAATGACTCTTTTGGAGAATGTGCAGCCTTGGGGAATACAGAACAGCCTGGGTATCATCTCCTGAGGCCAGGACTGAGCCCAGAGCCCTTGTTGGCCACTCCATTGGTCCTCTTGATGCTGTCATCAGAGGGATTCCTTTGGCATTTCTACTTTTTTTCCCCTATTAAAACTATTCCTTTCAGTGAGGTGAGAATTCAGTAACATCCCACTAAACTACTTCTTGCAGCAGACTAAGTAACAAGCCACAGATATCTGGAATGCAGGGAATAATATTTCACCTTGGCCCAAAACAGAACTGAGCTACAGGGAAAGGACTGGAAAACAGAGATAACGCAGAATTTAACTATAGAAATAAGTTTTCAGGTGATACAAGAAGATAAATAACTTTGCCCCAAAGCCATACCTCACTGGTTTTCCATGGACCCTCCTTTTCCCTGCTCCTCTTTACCAGGGCCATTTGGATGCAGAGCAGTATTTCTTAGAATGGCTTGAAATTTTTACTCCACCTGACTGATAAGGCTGCTGTGGGACACACTGAGTCACACTTTGCTGTGGGATACCCTTGGTGGCACACTGCTGTGGGACGCACTTGGTAACACCCTGCTGCTGTTGCGGGACACCCTTGGTGGCACATTGCTGTGGGACACACTTGGTAGCACACTGGTGCTGCTGTGGGGTCCCTTTGGTGGCACACTGGTGCTGCTGTGGGATTCCTTTGGTGGCACACTGGTGCTGCTGCGGGACACACTTGGTGGCACACTGCTGTGGGACACACTTGGTGGCACACTGCTGCTGCTGTGGGATGCACTTGGTAGCACAGTGGCACTGCTGGGGGATCCCTTTGGTGGCACACTGCTGTGGGACGCACTTGGCAACACTCTGCTGCTGCTGTGGAACACCCTTGGTGGCACACTGTTGCTGTGGAACACACTTGGTGGCACACTGCTGTGGGACACACTTGGTGGCACACTGCTGCTGCTGTGGGATCCCTTTGGTGACACACTGGTGCTGCTGTGGAACACCCTTGGTTGCACACTGTTGCTGTGGGACACACTTGGTGGCACACTGCTGCTGCTGTGGGATGTTCTTGGTGACACACTGGTGCTGCTGTGGGATGACCTTGGTGGCACACTGCTGCTGCTGTGGGATGTTCTTGGTGACACACTGGTGCTGCTGTGGAACAACCTTGGTGGCACACTGGTGCTGCTGCGGGACACAGATGCTTGCACCGTTGGTCTCACATGGCTGAGGCACACACGTGGTCACACACCTGGTTGCACACTGTTGCTGTGGGATGCACTTGGTGGCATATTGCTGCGGGGCACAAGCGGTCACGTAACGCTGCGAGATACACCTGGTGGCACGCTGCTGTGGCACACACGTGGTCACACATCTGGTTGCACACTGCTGGTGTGGGGTGTATGTGGTCACGCAGTGCTGCGGGATGCACACGGTCGCACTGTGCTGCTGGTGGATTCCCTTGGTCAGGAACGGCTGCTGCGGCATGCATGTGGTCACACACCGGGTTGAATGCTGCTGCTGCGGGATGCACTTGGTTGCACATTGTTGCTGTGGGATGAATTTGGTTGCACACTGCTGCTGGGGCACGCACTTGGTCACACATGCCTCTTGCGACGTGCATTGGGTGGCACATGACTGCTGTGGCACACAGGTTGTCACACACCTGGCGGGTGGGATGTGCTGGGTCACACGCTGTTGCTGTTGAATGCACTTGGTTGCATACTGCTGCCGTGGTATGCACTGGGTCACACACTGCTGCGGGGAGAAGCTGGATGACAGAAACCGCTGCCGAGGAGTGCAGGGGGTCACATACTGTGGGGTGCACACTGCTGACTGCCATCTGTGCATCAGAGGGTGTGTTTGGGGGCACTTAATGGAGACGTGCTCTTGGTGGAGAGGAGGAAAGCACTGCTGTTGGTAGCACAACATCTTAGTGAGGTTTTGGCAGGGCTGGAATGAGAGGTGAGAGAGCAGAGCTCTTAGAGAGGCACCCAGTGGGTGCTGGAGGTGCATCCATCCATGCAGGAGTCCAAGAGCTGCACCCAACCTGTAACTTATAACTCAAAAACATGGCAGTAAGGGGACGTCTAACAGTAGGGACATCCAGAGATACACAGCGTGAAATATCCCCCTGGACCTCATCTCACTCTACATCACTTAGACCTGCAAGAAGGAAGAACTGATCTTTGAGGTCAGAGGAGAAATTCCTCATCTGAGCTACCTTCCAACCACAAAGCTCAGGTTTTGCCCTCTGGTTTTGTTGGGGACCTCTTGCTGACATGTTGAGAAAAAGCCACAACCCAGATGCATCTCAGATCCACTGACCCCATTTGCCACAGCAGGAGACAAGCAGCACCCAAGGCAACACTGCCTGCTGACCCCACAGCACCAGGAACACACAGAAGCTCACAGCCTGGTTTCAGCATCACCATGTTCATTCTCATTAGAAAGCCAAAGCCAATTAAGGGGCAGCAATACCAAAGCCAAACACAGCTTGCTTACAGCTCTTCTAGCACCACGATCCCTGATACTCCAAAGCAGCTCTTCATGTTGTCAGACACCCACGAAAGCAAACTACAGCCAACAGCACCCCAATTACTGTTAACAGCTGTTCCTCAGATTGCTCACAAGTGGCCCTTGGGGTCGGATGCCCAGCTGGAGACACAGCAAGAGCACATTCCTACACTAACGCAGCAATTCACACTCACTAGTATTAAAAACCTTACCCACAAAGCATTTCATATGTAAAAAGGCAGCAAGAAATCTGCATTTCCACAGCCGCAGAGGCTCAGCACAGAGCAGACTTACCCAGCTCCCCGGTGAGAACGGTGTTGTGATGTGACCAGTGAGCCCTAATGGCAGCTGACCTTTTATATAGATGCTAAGTGTGCCCCGAAGGCATGAGGAACCCACGACACAGCCTAATAGCTCCGTGTACAAGCTGCCCTGTGTGCAATGCTCACAGTGACTAGCATCGACTCGCTCATCCTCATGGATGAGTAGTTGGATGTCCGCTCTCCGTAGTAAGTGTAATTACCTCCTGTCTAATCCTCCCTGGCATGGTAAGATTGAATGGTATTTGGAGAGGCAGTGATGGACCCACCTGCAGAGATCTGGCAAGAGAGGAGCATAGACACCATCAAGCAGTGGTGGCTTTCCAAAGCCCTTCTCCCAGCCCCAGAAACCTCCTGGTGGACCCCAGAGGTGGGGCTGCCCCAACACACGGCCTCTTTTTGCACACAAATGGCTCTGGGAACCTCACTGAGTCCTCCGCATCCTTCTCTACCCATAGTCATTGGTTAGGCCAGCACCTCCCATCCCCACTATAATGTCCAGCTGTGTGTGCAGCTGGACACAGACACTGGCTCCTCCAGGGAAAACCAGAAGCTCCCACTGGAATCCACATCACCCCCCTGGGTGGGTGATCCAGAGCCACCTGCATCCTCAGCTCACGTAGCTCTGGAGCGTGGCTGCCAATCCCAATAATCCCATGATCCCAGTGCAATCAGCATCATCAGAGCAGTGGGAAAACACCATCCAGTGACTCTCATATGAGCGGAAAAGATGATCTACAGTCACATCTGATTGCAGCCATTGCGTAACTCAGCTGTCACCAGCAGCACCAGGAACAGATAAACTTCCTCGGGTCTTGTGGTGCCTTTGAGTGAGTCAACATCTTATCACACGCAGTGCCCAGATCAGAAAAGGGGGATATTAATTTTCTGAAGTCACTGAAGATGCAATCAACGCTTTCATGTGCATTTTGGCTCATTAAACATTCCATAAAGAGACACGTTCTCCCCACTGACTCCATGTAAAGATGTGGGGATTGAATCAGAGCAGTGCTGAGCCACAGCAGCATTGAGCACTGGGGGAGATGGAGCTCACCCCAAGGAGGGCAGCTCCTGAACATGCTCATTAGAACCTCAGTTTGTTGTGAGCTACAGAAATAGCCCTCCCATGTGATTATTGAGGCCAGGAATGAGGTCCATAAAAAGCTTCATAATGCAACTGAATATGAAAGCCTAGCAACTCTTTTGTGCAGCAATGAAAGTGGTTCTCAAGGTTTATTCATGGGTGAAAAATTGGATTTCACTAGGCAAGAATTGCAGGGAATGAAATGCTCCCTTTACCATAGGCATCTCCAGCACTGAGTGTGCTCATCGTTAGCTGAACCACAAGCAGTGTGACTTTGTTGTGGCATCCCTCCCATGGAAACCCATTCTTTGATCCAAAGCCGTAACTCCTCACTGCTTTTCAGCTCCAAAGCTTGCAGGTCTGATCCTCCCTGTTACTGAGGTGAGCAATTCACATTTGTGTTAGTTTTACCCTCGTCTGGATACAGGCACTGCCCCAACCTTTAAACAAATCCTTGTTTCATTCAGTACTTGGATGCAACCCATGCATACCTGCCTAACTCACTGAAAGCCATAGCAAATTTAATTAGCAGATCCCAATGACAACTTGCCTTTTATGTCCATACCCCATTATATGCACATGAATATGCATCCAAATCCACTTTCTCAGCACACTCCACAGCTGCAGACTCAAAGAAGGAAAAACCACCGAGGATCCACTTAAATTTTGGCAGCAGGGCAACTTGGGAGACTTTCACTGCATGGCACTGGAATGAGCATTTCACTCTCACACGATGACACCTGTCAAAAATGTGTGCTTCTGTTGTCACCTGCTCACACCCCAATAGAATCCACCTCCTCCCAGCAGTGGTTGTTACCTATGGGAATTTTCTGGGCTCTTTTCAATGTACCTGGCTGATCTGGCAGCATGGGCAACAGCTTGAGATAGAAGTGGAAAATTAAGTTAGAATAGAGCCAAGGTATCTTCCCATGGAGAGAGGAGATGAAAAAACTCCTGGAGGAGATGCCAGGGGAGATGCTGGGAAACCACTGCCTTCTCTTTAATAAGCCAGGAATGCAAAGCAGCACCGTCACACAGTGGCATTTTGGGAGCATGAGCTAATGCCCCAGGAATGCACAGCTCGTGGCCAGCTCCAGATATAGAAGTGTGGTTGGAAGAGCAAGCAGGCGAGAAAAGAAGATGGAAGAAACAAAGTAAATAGGCCAGGTGTGATCCAAGACACTAGGCAGCATAGAATTAGCATTGCTCCATTAAATTTAACAAGAAAACAGTGATTAACAAGATAGAGCTGTAAAGCAGGAGGGAGCTACAACAGTAAAATAGTGCTTAACATTGTGCATGTGGGGCTACAGCAGAGGCATATGAGAGGGCCTTTCCTTGAAGAAAGTATCTGGAGGAGTACCATCACGGATAAGTTCTGCTCAACACCTCACAAGCTTAAGGAGAACTCTCGGGTGCCAACCACTGGTTACAGTCACTGCACAGGTCTGGGGTGGCCACATCCTCCAGCACTGCCAAAGCCATGTCCTCAGAGCCCTACAAGCCACTAGAGCGCAGCATATGCACACATAAACCACCTCCTGCAGCAGCTTTGCACAGACAACAGCAGCACGGAATGCGTTTCCCAATGCTCTCTGCTCTCCAAGAAAAGAATCTGCCTGACCTGGCAGCCTGTGAGCTCAGCTCAAATTGCTGCCTTTGCATCAGAGCACTGTAACGTCTGAATGCTCCTCAAAGCAGTGCAGGTATTGAACCAAAGCCATCAATGCATCCTGCAGCTCACCTGAAGACTCATGTCTCCATTCCAGCTGCTTACATGCATGCGTGTTTCTGGGCATTGAAAACAACTTGAAACAGATGCCAGGCTGCAAGCAGGGAGCTTCACAGTAAGGGGAAGGTGAAGAATAGGGGAAAAGAAGAGAATAAGCAGACATGGCATATTTTTATTGTATCAGACTGGTAATTAGATAGCAGCGTACAAGCTGCAGATAATAAAACACTGTATTATTAGCCTAGCAAGCTGTAAAATTGCAGTATAGATGTTTCAATGATTTAACAGTGCTGAAGGCAACATACAAACCTCCTCATCATCATGCATTAAAAAAAAATAAAAATCTTCTCTTAGACTCCTTACTGTATTTTAAAAGCTTCTTATTACTTAATGAACTCTTGCTGTTTTGCAATTAGCAGCCCCAGTGCACCTCTTTGTTCTGGCTGCCACCAGGCTCCATGAGGTCAACCTCTGCAGAAAGTTTGACTGCATGATTGCAATAGCTCTGGTGACTTGAAGTTTCAACACTGCCTCTAGCACCACATCCATTAGATACACCAACTAGGCTTCCAGTGCAAGAGAAGCTGGGATGCTGCTGCTACCAGCACCTGATTGCATCCAAAACATGATTGCCACTTCAGTGTTGGTTTGCAACCCCTAACTGCAAACTTTGCTGCTTTGGGATTTGCCCCTTCCTCCCCTCCTTGGGTTTGGGAGGATTTCTATCAGCCAGGGTTCATTATTAATTCAGATGCTCTCCATATGCTGAACTTCAAATGTTTCCCTTTTCTATAGCAATTCAACTAGCAGCATGGTTTTAGGATTAACACGTTTGTATAATCTCTGGACCTGATCCTTTTCCTGTAATCTCTTTGTATAGTGGTATGATGCCATCAAAGTCATGAGATTGGCACAGGTATGACTCAGATTATCTCCATTAATCTGTGGCATTAAACAGATGCAGAAACAGCTGGAGAAGAATTAGTCTTTCCATAAGAGCCTGCAGCTCCTGCTATTCAATCTCAATTAATTCCATTTGCAATAGGAAGAGTCCGAAATTGCCACTGCTGAACTATAACTCCACAGTAAGTCATATTTTGCACAGCCTTCCCAACAATATTTAACAGATTCACCAGAATACAACTCACCCCACCCATCAGTGAAGCAATGAATCAATGCAAAGGTAGAGGAAGGGCCTGAAGTGTCAGAAAAGTCCTTATAACCCCCAGGAGCTCAATTTCCCAGGAAGGCTCTAGAGCACAGGTGCTTCCTTTTGGCTTTTGGGAGTGAATGCTCCCCTTTTTCCAGCATTTTGTATTTTAGCAGCTGAAGCCTGTTGTCTGCACCTGAAGCCTGGGAGCTCCTTGTTGTTCTGGTACTTTTCAAATGCTTTCATCTAAAGCCCTATAGCTTTAGTCTTGCCAGAAATAACAACAAATGCAGTTCAGGCTGCAAAGGCAGTACCTGAACATCAGGGATATTCAAAGTCTTTTTGGAAGCATAAGGCAACCTTAATCCGAAGGCGAGCAATGCTCCCCATTGCAGCAGGCACCTGCCTGTGTGCAGATGCCATTTTACCATCTCATCCCCTCCCCAGAAGCCCAGGAATCTGTATTTGCACCCCAACTGCTCCCTGTTCCCCACCAACAGCATTGCAAAGCTGAGCACAAACTCAGGGTGACCCTTGGAGCTGTTCTGCTTTGCAATTTGCAAATCCTCCTGCCTGGGCCAGAAAGGGCTGGTGGCAGGTTTAGCTTCAACAAGTCCGCTCCTGAGCACCAGTGCATGAATGAAGCAATTGAGAATTAGTCTCTTTGATGTGCTGACTGCCTGGAAAGTGTTTCTGTTGTGCTCAATGGGTTTTCAATGAGGCACTGTGTTGTACTTGAGAAGCAGAGCAATTCTGCACCAGCAGTTAGGAATACATTGAGGCTGGGGATTAGGCATCCAAGAGGCAGTGCAGGAGGCTCTGGAGTTGGCTGTCATCTCAGAGAACTGGAAGTAAAATGTATAAAAACCCTGAAAATGAAGGTTGGTGGATTTACAGAAGAGATTTTAGAGCTCTGAATGTGGAATCACAGACAATTCAGTGCTTCAGCCGTGTCTGTCTCCTGAGAGCTGTTAAAGTAATCGTGGGGAGCTTGGGTGCTGTGTTACAGCAAAAAAACTGAGAGAAGTCTCTCAAGGAATAACAGGCTAGAGGAAAAAAAGTCAAGTGCAGACTGCTTGGCCATCCCTGTGGGACTGGGGAAGATTGAGTCTGCAGATGGTTCAGTTACTGGGATGGCAGCAGACAGACCGATACTAGGAAACTCAGTAACTGGTAATTAAGTCTTTTGTCTCATGAGATGAGCTAATGGAGGTGTCCACCCTGAAGTGATGACAGGCACAATAATAAAGAACAAGATGGGGAGTTAACGAAACAGTGTCTAATTAAGCCATCGGGGTGAGCCCTGTGTTGGGAGATCCAGTTGGGCAGCTCATGAATCATACCAAGATGTGAAATCCAGGAGAGCAACAGCTACTGCAGATCGTTTTCTCTGTGCACAAAGGTTCCAAGCCCTACATAGATAGAAATCAATGAGCACCCTTGTGGATGTGAGGGAAGGGTCACATTTCACCTGCTGAGCTGAGGTGCTCTGCAGTGCTCTGTGCTTCTAAGAAAGCTCCTCCTTTCTTTCAGAGTGAAGTAGTATAGCAGCAAGGATCACTGAGGTACTGAGACACCTCCATGGTGCATCAGACTGTTACAGACCTCCATTTGGAGCTGCTAGTTTAATTGCTGTGCACACCTCCAGGTATCTTAGACTCTGGGGACCTGAGTAATTAATGATGTGATTAGCTCTTGTAAAGCCATTGGGGGACTGAGGGTAGCTCAGCACCTCCACGAGCTGAGTGGAACCCACAGTGGCAGTTTCTGTCTAGGAAGAAGGGTAGGCTCAGGACACTTCTATCAGCTGTGGTGTTGCACTGCCTGGAATTAGTAGGGTGGAGCTGGGGTCAGCAGGAGCAGAGCCAGGGCTCTGCCAGGCGGGAGCTGAGCCCACATTGGCTGCCAGGCCACTTTCCTTGATGCACGTTTCTCCCGTAGTTCCCCAGAGGTTTGAGCAAGGCAGGTTTCACTGCATATGGCATTTGCCTCTAAAAATAGCCTTTGTGCAATTCGCATGGAAGGGGAAAGCAATTATCCTGCTACGGTGTGAAAAACATTCACTCCCTATCCACAGGCTGAGTTCAGAGCCTCTCCAGTGATAATTGCCATCGTTTTTCTGCTGAGGTTGCAGCCGTGGACGTGAAATGACCTCCTGGAGCCTTTGCAGAGCTGGATCCAAACCAGGGCGGAAGGTCAGGACGGCCTCGCCTGGTGTGCAGACACGGCGCAGGTCGTCTCCCCTCCAGCTATGGAAAGTGATTTTCTTTACTCACGGAGTGTTGCAAGCTGAGTCTGGAAAATTGGCACCCAAATTGGTTGTATATTCCCGAAAGCTGACTGCTTGCTTAAATGAAAGCAGTGTCTCAACACAGGGCCGTGGTGGTTGCACCTGTAGCTGCCTTTGCCTCAGTGCTGGACACAGGTGCTACGTGCCCTATTTCTCTCTCCTCGATGGCTGTAACAAAGGTTACTGAAGCTCTGGCCTGAATCTGCACGTTTGCTTTTCTCCATTGCAATATTTGACCTAATGAAATGTGCTGTCTCAGTCTGAACACAGCTGCTCTGTTCTCTCCAGGCTAATGGATGCATTATAAAATTCAGGGTTTAGGGGCTTATTCCCCCTTGCTGTGTTCCTATAGCCCTGCTTTGAAGGGCTATAGGAACCTCAGCCAAAGGGTTTTGGTAACCACGAAGCCTGATCCTACCTAGAAAGCAGACAGACAGATTATCTTGTGTCTGGAAAGCATTCTGCCTCCTGCCTTCAGTGGGGCCATGGTTACAATTTGTGCCAGCAGAGCATGGGTGAGGCTTCAGATGCAGATAGATCACAGGCTGGTGATCACTTGCTGGTGACCACAACTCAGCAGGTTCCAGAGCCAGCCAGGCACCAGCTCAGCCCCACCTGCAATGAGGCAAGAAAGGAAGTTGCATGGGTGAAGTGACGCTATGGCAGAAGACAACGCGTGGTCTAAACTTCAGGTGTTCTGTGCTTCAGTTGCTAAATGATTATCAGCAGAGGAAGTTACACCACAGCTGGAGCCAGCGAGTTCACACCGGGAGCCCCAGCAGTGTTGGGTACCAGCTCAGCCTGTTGTAATGATTGCATCTGCAGTGCGTGCTGTGATAAGGTACTCTGGTAAAACCATGGAGAGGAGACAAAGATAGACCTGAGACGACCAAATGTGATGAAATTCACCTCTGTGTGGGACGTGTCACCGTGTGGGATCAAATTGCCCCTACCCTGAATGGTGAGGACGATGTGATTGTATTTGAACAGCACTGTGAGATCTGAGGGTAATCATCAGTGAGCTATTTTCACTTCATATACTTTGAACTTGGAATAACGCTCTGAGAATACACTGCATGCACTACAAACTCCCTTCATCTCACTGTTATATTGAAACATTCTTCTCAAATGCCATCCTAGCATCCAAACCAGTGTGATGTCCCAGTTCCATCCTATTGTGATAAATCTCATATGCTCTTAAAAGTCCCTTTACTCTTCATATGGTGGATGAAGATATACTCAGGTCCCACTTCTGTCATGTTTGCTAGCTGGGAACCATACCATGGATGACAACATGCATTCGAAATAATCTGCTCTGAAACGAGGGAAGAATGAAAGCTATGAAGATCTTAATGGGAAAAAAATAAACCCATCCATCATGAGCAGATAGAATGACTAGGAAATCGCTTTAGAGAATTCATTGATGAAAAAGAGGTGGCAGATGTCGAGAATAGGAACAGTCCCCAGGTCTTAAGCCACAAATGCATCCTAAGAAATGGGGGCAAGACCATTAGCTGGCATGAAAGACCTTGGTGGGTCTGTGGTGACAGTGTTAACCAAAGGCAATGACCTTTATTCGCAGAGAAAGTTTTGCGTTGGCTCTGATCAACCAGAAAAGGGATCAAAATGCTTTCTGCACAAAAAAAATAGCTGTCTCTTCACACTGCCTACGTGTAAAACAAGTCTGTGGAGGAAACACACAACGGCAGTTGTGAAAGAGTGAGCTCATTACCTGGAGGACTCATCCCCAGAAGGCAGGGCTTTGAAACCATATAAAAGTTCCCAAATCTCCACGCTGCTCCATCCACTCGACTTTGCACTTCTCCCTGTTGGCTGGTTGGGTAAGTCACTGAATACTGATCCTTCTTGTGATGCTTATGATTTAATGCTAGCTAGAATCTCACAGAGGTTTCATTTAGGCAGGCTCTTTAAAGACGTGCTTTATTTGGTAACTTTGAGCATGCAAAAGATTCCTACAGAGGAGACAAACTGTGGGCGTTGGGGTTGGACCAGCAGTCTGGGAATGGCTCTGCAAGGCAAGTTCAGATCGTTTGTAAATTTGGGGATAGTTAAGTGCCAAATTAGATCCTTTCTGAAGAAATTAGATAAAATTATGTTGGTTTAAGTGTAACTGATTCTGCCTTCAGGGAAAGGGAAGGTCTAAACGGCCTACTGAAGGTCCTTCCAAATCCATTTTCTATGATACTGTTATTTATAATATGATAGCTTTTAAAACTTTAATATCTTGGGGTAATCATTTATTCAAAAAACAGACCTGTGAGTATGAGGGGCTGATAGAGCAGAAGGGAGAAAATACTCCTCCTGTGCTCTGTCATCCATGGCTTAAGATGCCATCAGGAAAGGAAACAGTAAGAGCATCAGATAACGATCTGGATGATCTGGGAGGATGGGAAAGAGAGCAATGATTTGCTCTGAAGATGTGCTGAGCAGGGAAGCTGCCATGGGAAGGGAGAACACTTGCACACACACTTGATCAGCATGGACTCCAGTCCTTTTTGGTGGGACTTTAAAACAGCTCTTCTAATTCATATTTCCATGATTTTAACCTTTTCTTTGTGTCCTTTAGAAAAAGAGCAGCATGGGATTTGCCAGAGCCACAAAGCACCAGGCAGCCAAGCCTGATCCTGCTTCGGCAGTGCACCAAAGAGAGGGAGTTTCATAAATCTTTAGGAGAACCCATTTGGCACATTGCACATGCTGGGAGAAGAAATCCCTTTTGATTATCCTGATTCATGTGGACTACATGCATTATGAGTGATGCTAGTGATGATAGTCCAGAAATGTAGGGCAGCATCACCACTGCTAATTCTTTCCATGGCAGCTGGAAGGACTGTGACACTGCAGCCTTGGTCCATTACATCACCATGAAGTGAGGGATAGCACTGAGGTGAAGCTGACCCATGACATGGGCACTTCTAAGGCTCCCAGTGCTACACAAAGATGTTACTTATGGGGGAGGACCACCCTGAGGCCTTAATTCCAAGAAAAATCTGGAAACCATTTTAAAAAGGGGCAAACAAAACAGATGATTTCATTTCTGTCAGAGTGGGGTGTTCCGTTGGACCCAGATTCATGTTTTCTACTTTCTGATGCACAGGTGTTTTTGTTTTTTTTTTAATTCTTGTCTTGAGCTGTCCGTTTTATTACGATCATTTTGACTTTCTGAAACCGCTATCAATCCAGCAGATCTGTTATTTGCCAGCTCCTCTCGTCAGTCCCCCAGGAAAGAAATGAAAAGGAGTTAACAGGTTGGGAAGAGCAAAGCAACGGGTGGAAGAGCTCTGAAGTGTAAATCAGCTCCGATTTCAAAGGAGTGATTCTACCTCTGCTAGACCTGTCCCACACTGCAGAGCAGAGCAGAGGAACAAGATAAGGCAGAGTCAGAGACAGGATGAAAAAGAAAGAGCAAATCATAATTCCTCCTGAGCCAACCTGCCTTGGGTAACCAAGGGCAAGCTAAGAGAAAGTTAGTCTTGCAGATGATGAATGTTTCTCATAATTGTTTCACTCTTATCCCAATGCAGTTCGATCAGCAGACACAATAACACTCTGACGTTTCTTTCAGATAATCTTGTTTCCTGCAAAGATGTCTTTGAATCAGATGCAATGCAAGCAGGAAATCACTCTCCCATCTGGCCTGGGCAAAACGGTTTCAAAGGAAAATCAAGAGCCAGAGCCCTGCGTTGAGCCTGTCCCATGCCCTCAGCAGCACCAGTCTGAAGCCCAAGTCACAGAAGTGACTGCAGTCGTAGTGGTGCAGTATCCAGAAGAAACAGAGCCATTGCCAGCACCATCAGTGGAACCAGGCAAGGGAGAAGCACCAGCAGTCGTGATACCTGAGTGCCCACCCCAAGAGCAGCAGCAGCAGCAAAGCAAGCTACCAGCAAATTTCCCTCCAGTATCACAGCCTGAACCTGTTGCATGCTCACAAGAGAAGTCAGCATGCAAAGAGCTGCCAGAGCCAGTACTTGCTGTCTGCCCTGAAGATGTCCCCCAGCAGAAGCAGGAGTGCAAGGAGATCCCTGTGCAAGTCCATGTTGCCTCTCCTGAACCTGCAAAGTGCCCTCAGGAGAAGCAGGAGCACGAGGAGGTCCCTGTGCCTGTTCCTGTCCAAAACCCCGAGCCTGTACCCTGTCCCCAAGAGAAGCAGGAATGCAAGGAGGTCCCTGTGCCAGAACCTGTTCAAGAGCCTGAACCTGCACCGTGTCCCCAACAGAAGCAGGAGTGCAAAGAGATCCCAGTGGTGGTCCCTGTCCAAAACCCTGAGCCTGCACCCTGCCCCCAGGAGAAGCAGGAATGCAAAGAGGTCCCCGTGCCCACCCCATGCCCTGCAGAGAAGCAGGAGTGCAAAGAGATCCCAGTGGTGGTCCCTGTTCAAAATGCTGACCCTGAACAATGTCCCCAGGAGAAGCAGGAGTGCAAGGAGGTCCCTGTGCCAATCCCTGCACCCGGCCCAGAGCCAGAGCAGAGCTCCCTTCCTGAGAAGCATCCTCCCCTTGAGCAGCAGCAGGTAAAACATCCCAGCCCGTGGCCACTGACACAGAAATAACTTGCAGCTGGCAAGGGAAGCCCCAAAGAGAGAAGCAGGATGCAAGACCTCCCCCCATATCTCACACAGGTCGTTTTCCAATGCCCTTTTACCCACTGCAGAATTTCTGTTAAGCACAGCTCCCAGCTCCCCCCACTAACGCTCACGTTGTCCCCACTAACAGCTATATGCTACCTGACACGTCAGGGCTGCCATAGATAGGAAGGCTCCCAGTAGTGGTGCAGGCATGAGCATTTGGCTTTCCAGCAACCTGAATCTCTGCCGTCTCCCAGTCATTCAATCATCCGGAGAGAAAATTGAAGAGCATGATGGTGGGCTGTAGCCAGGGCTCATCATGCCAATTATTCCACCTTCACCCGATGAGTCAATGCATCCTGCAGACCTGCACGCTGCCTCCTGGTTCCCATGCATCCCTCCCCCAGCTCCCTGCACGCCAGCACAACCTCCCACCTCACATTTAGGGCTTTGCCTATCACTAATAGGATCTGAGGTTTCCACTAAAGCTGCAGCTAAGGGGTTCTGGTTGGTGGCACCAAGGCTTTCTGGACCATGAATCCACAGTGCTGAATATTTTATGCAATAAAAAACCCACTGAGCTAGAGGAAAGGGATAGATCTTTACAAAAGAGCCATCACCTCTTAATTACCTGCTTTGCTAAACTAATTGTCGTCGTTGCTTTCCTGAGAGAGCTCACCTCAGATTTTCTAGGATGTGTCAGGAGCAGCTCAAGCTGACAGTATTCATGGAAAAGATATAGGTAATTAAATGCAACCCAGACGTGTTTTGAAATAGATTAACCCCCAGCACAGCTTCTAGCTGTCAGACAGGATGAAGGAGGCGGCGTGCACGGTCTGAGTTACACCCTGCAACATGTTTCACCACACACTGCTCTTGCATATGTGTTTGGTGCTTCACCCTAATTGTTTTAGGCTGATGTTGTATCCAGGATTTATTTCACTGTGAAAACGGACAATAAAAATGACTTTGAATACTGAGCTGTGAGACTTTTAATAGCTTCTTCTCACAAAGAGAACCAGGGCTCTCGGCTTGCACATCACTCAGGCTGAATGCCAGGGGACTGGGGACTCAAATGTGGGTGCTTGAGAGGAATGCTGAGTCTTCTGCTCCTCTGCAAGCGCCTGCAAGAGACCGTGTGCTGCACCAGCCCATGGGATGGCTGATTGTACTGCAACACTAATTAATTGTGCATTGAAACACTAATGAATTTCACTGACATACCTCCACAGGACGCTCCACCCCAAAGCAGGACGCAGCTCACATCCTGCTCCATCTGCCCTATTCAAACACCATCTACAGGGCAAGCTGCAAGCAGCAGCACACAGATTTCCCACCCTTGCTGAGCCAGGAGAAATTCAGTCTCACCCTGCTCTGCTGGATGGGTGTGGGATGCGTGCAGTCCCATCACCAGATTGCAGAGCTGCACCAGACACAGCCTCTGGCTTGCACAGCCTGCTGGTGTCTGACTGCAAGGCATCAATATCACATCATTCACCGCCTCTGCCTCTGTGATAATGTTCCTCCTCTGCATTTTTTTACAGCTGGCTGGAAATCAATTAGCTGAGCCAATATTTCCTGCCGAGAAACAGAAACATTCAAAATCCTGTTTCTGGCTCTTTTAAAACTGGAAATAATCATTTGAAGTAATCAAAAGTTTCTTTCCAGCGTCAGAACATCCAAAGATCGCAGCTGTTCTATATCTGGGACTCCCAGTCGTGATTAATTGCTTTGATAAATCCCACAGGAATGTACTTCAGAACGTTATACCTTGCAGAAAACTGAGTTTTGTCTGGTTTGCACCAGCTCAGGGTGAAAACAACTTGCAAAATTTCATAATCCAGACCTGAGAATGCCATTTCCTCCATAGGAAACCTGGATGTGCATGGATCCCTGTGGGTGTGCCTTATATGCATGTGTATACTGAAAGGTGACTCTGATTACAAAAAGAAGGCAAAAGATAATGATTGACACCAGTAAAGATAAAAATATATATATATCAGGAAGCAAGTGAGGAGGTTAATTACACTTTTATTGAAGCGTGTCCCAAATTAAAGATCAGAAGGAAACAGCCCCATGACTCTTTTATAATAGATGAACAAATCTGAGATAATGAATTGCATCTCTTTGTGACTTCTGCAAGCAAAGAAGGCGCCTTGGAAATTTCTAGCTATTCAGGCAGAGCTGGAAAGCAGAAAGAGAGCACGGAAAGACCCATTTGCATTTTCCATAGCTCTTCGTGGTCGCTGATGGGAGCTCTACTTCTGCTTGGGGCACTGCTGCTGCTGCTGCTGCTGCGGGACGCTCTTCACAGGGCATTTGGTCTGTCCTTTGGGGGCCTGGCATTGCTCTACACCCTTCGGGGGACACTTCTGCTGGCACTGGGCAGGTATTTGTTGCTGCTGCTTCTGCTGGTGGGAAGACATCTCTGCTGAGCCTGGAAGAAAGGCAAGGTTCCCCTCTGGTTACTTTGAGCCCTACACAGTTCTCTTTCTGGATATTGTAGCTTCAGTCACTTTGTTAGCCTTGATCCAAAGCTAGCAATGAGGAGCCTTTAAAAGTCATTTCTAGCAGTCAAAGAACATGGGGAAAAAAAAGCCCAAAACCAACAAAAACTTGGAAATCCCTCAGGATGAGGCTGTTCAAACCAACCCTGTATTAGTGACTCCAGCCTGTTGTAGGTTCCCCATACTTCATTTCAGTATTCTATGGAGCTCTGCTGAGGCCCTGGGGCATAACTGTATGGAAGAGAATGCAGGAGTAAAGCACTGCCCTAATGAAGCTGTGATCCCAATAGGTGAATTGTTCCAGAAGAAGAGGGAAGAGGAGGAGAGAAACGAGTGGGTTTTTCCTTCTGTTCGATGTACTCTGAACATTGATAGATTAAGAAGCAAGACAAATTGTGATGAAATCATGGAGGCTCAAGACCTCAAAGCAGTATTTGTTTGGTGCAAGAGGAGCAAAAATCCAGTGATATTTCAGTGTTCCAAGTGGTTTATTTGGAAGAGAGAAGAGTTGGATGGCAATCCCTCTGCTTATGGTCACATCTCTGCATAGAGCACTAAGAACCCAGAGCAGGAGCTGTGTCCCCTGCTGCAAATGCAAAGAACTGTCCTCCTGCTGCTACCACTTTGTGCACAGAAGTGAGACTCAGAGCCCTGGTGATCGGCACACAACTGCTCTGCAAACACAGAACGAGTTGGTGGATGCCATCCTTTGGTGTCTGATCCTCAACACCTGGTGGTTATCCAAAAGGATTCTTATCAGCTGGAAGAAAATGCTGAGGGATAACAAGGGTTTGATGATTGAAAGTCAGTGAGCCACTGTCTGGAGCCTTGGAAAGTCTCGGAATAAAAGAATATGGCTTTCATGCAGGAGAAAATGGGCTGGAGTTGCTAGCAGAGAAATAAAATAAAGAGAAACCATCCCATTTCCCAAGAGCAGAGCACCATGACAACCCCCAGTGTTGCTGATCTGCATGGAGGGACTCACCTCTCGTCAGCTGCTGCTGGCAGAAGCAGAAAAGCCACCTGGTGCAAGGAGCCTCAGGAGCAGGAGGCTTTTATATGCGCTCCAAAGGCAGCCCTAGGAGCTGATGACAACAGATTAACTTGATGACCAGAATCTTTCACAACCAGAACCTGCTCCACTGACACCTCCATACTCCTGGACCTCAGTCAAGGGCTGCAGAGATGCCTCCTCTTTCGGGTGCGGGGGATTTGTTGTTTTTAATCCGAGGCACACCCAATCTGGTAATAACTGGCTAATTTATTAATAATTCATCCCGTCCCGACCCTGGGCAAATATCCCACAGGTGAACTTGGATTTCAGCTCCAGCTCAGATCCAATGTCATTAAAACATGTTTGTATAAAGTTGAGGTGTCTCCTGGTAATTTTGCCCATGATCACCAGGACAGTTGTTGCTTTTCGTCTCCGTTTCCATCTCAAAAAGGGAACTGAAACATTTTGTATTATCAAAAAAAAAAGAAATGGAGATCTTCCCTCTTATCTCTCTTTGAGATTTTCCTTAGTTTTTCACTGAAGGATCTAAAATTTTTTTTACAAGCACCGGGTTTGGCTTGCTGAGGTCATGGCAGGATTCCTTTTGCTGGAGATGGGTCTAAATGTCAGTCCTCTTGAATTTTTCCCAAGGAAGAAACAGAGAAAATCTTTCAAGGGAAACATTGCCTCTAGCTGTAATGGAAAAGCTTGTTCAGGACTTCATTGAGTGTTCCTCAGTGCTTTGCCCTGTGGGGTCACGTTCAGCCCTACGAATTACAGCTCAATCTCCAATGGAGTGGTGTGACATGCAAAGAAACAAAGGACATGGCTTCCACCGGCTGTAGGAGAGCAGAAGGTGCTAATGGAAAATCCCATCACGTAATATCCCCCATTCATTGCTGATTAATCAGGGGTCTTAATGACCATGAGGTTAACATGGACGAAACATCATTCATTTGTTCTAAACGCATGGGAGAATCTTAGCAATGCTCAACTCTGACCACAGGTGCATAGGGGAGCGATGTGTCAGGGCTTTTGCAACTCATGGTCCATCAGGCACAGGAAGCACAATGGACGCAGCCCAGCAGCTCTTTCTGCCACTTCCCCCAGCATGCTCACATCTATCATCACTGTGCCTGGAGCAGTGCTTGCAGAGATGGGGAGAAGAGGAAACTTCAGTGACTAATGCGGCTGATAGAGCTGGATGAAGAGGACTGGAATCAGTCAGAGGTGACTAAACTGAACAACAGATCTCACTAGCAGCTGCACATGACTGCCTGACAAATTTTTTCCACACCTGGAAGCGGGCACTGATGCTTTGTGGGGTTAAGGATGGCAAAGTTCATTGAACACAAGAAGTTTGTGTTCAACAGCATATGTGTGGTCTCTGTCATGCCTTCCCCTTTCTTGCTGTCTGATCCGCCTGCCATCAGTTTGTCTCTCCATGTGCAAACGTATGTTTAGTGTAGAAACAGTTTGCCTTCGTGAGATACAACATTTTGTCTGTCGTTATTCCTGTTCAGTGATTTTCCTTTTGGTGTTGACAGAAATAAGACAAAAAGTAATCTACAGTCAAACTCTACACCTGCACACAAGGTTTCATTAAAAGCTGATTTGGTAACAGTGTTTACACACACCTAAATATAACTCTTTTCTTTTCTAGATCAGTCCCTCTCCACCCTTGCCATAATGACATGGTAGGTGGGTAATAACCCTCTGTCCCAGACATGGAAATTGTATGGCCATCATGAAGACAGAGGTGAGCAAGTCACATGCAGGTGTGTAAGACAAAGGGAGCATTATCTCTGAAACTTGACATCTAAATGGTTGTAACTCCGTCCAGACAAT